GGGCTTTCTTTACATCACATCCCTGTCATGAATTTATCCTTTTTCTTGCAACAGCATCCACCTCTCCTTCCTGGGAACAAGACTGTGTCTCATTGCTGCCTCCTCGGGGCCCTTGTTCTTCAGGCAGAACTATGCCCTCATCCTGTGAGCCTGCCCTCAGGTCTTCAGCTTTAAGGGGCAAGGGATAGGTTAGTGCTCTAATTTTGGTGACACAGCTCATTTTCATTTAGATGCCCCTCCATTGCCCACTGACTTTGTGCCCTTGAGCAGTAACATGCCGTCTCTGGGCCTCAGTTTCCCCATCTGCAACACGTTGCCATGAACCCTACTCCTTAGAGTGGTTGTAAGTTCAGCTGTGCCTGGGACGTGGGAGGGATCGATCCTCGTTGATTTCCAGATCGGATGGAGCTATGTGGGTTGACACGTGAGAGGGTCAAGGTATCTGACTCCAAAGTCAAGGTGGACAATGGATATGCCCCTTCAAGAGCCCCCGTCTGCTCCTAATGCTGAGAGATGCTACTTATAATACTTCTGAAATATGTACCACACTCAATGTGGAAAAAGAGAAGTAAAGGTTCCCACTATCAGAAGCATCTACAGTAAATAACATAGGCCAACGCTGAGTGGCCTCCAATGCCTGGGACTCACAAGGGGTTATCAGAGGGGAGGTGTCCACCTTTGTGAGGTCAGAAAAGATTCTGAATGGGACTCACATGCAGGGAGGAGATTTGGAATAAGAAGAAATTTGGAAGCAGAGTGGATCCTTCTCCATGTTTTGGGATGGGCACTGGGATATTTCTGCCCACTGACTTAGCCCATGGTCAGCACTGAGCCATGTCCCATGTGTGTGTGTGAGACAGATTCAACCCAGTCTAGTCCTGCATAGGTATCTGTCCAGGTGTGAGTGTGAAGCTCACATTGAAGCTGTCCCTTCCAGGCACATGACAGATGCTAAGTTTAAGAGAGTGGACACCATGGGACAGTACACTTCACCCCTTTCAGGTTGGAATGTAAGGAGGGCCTTGGGAAAACTCTCTACCAACAATCCGGTGTGTGGGAGGTGAGTGTCCAAAAGGAATAGACATCAAAATGACACATAGTGACTCTAGAAGGTTTGGCTCAGCAGTAAGAAAATCAGCCCATGGACTAAAGGGTCACAAGTTTGATTTCTGGCTTTGGTCCAGGGCACATGTGAAAGGCAACCAATCAATGTGTCTCTCTCACATCACTGTCTCTCTCTCTCTTTCTCTCCCTCCCTCTTTCTTTCCCTCCCTTTCACTCTCTAAACATCAATGGGAAAATATCTTTGGGTAAGGATCAACAACAACAACACAAAATGACACATAGTGCTATGAAAGACTCTCTACAGAGCCATTAATTGGATTAACATTTCTACGGAAACGCTCAGAATATATGAAACTCATTTTTACTTTAATCATTTTTAAATATCTGGAAATATATGAAGGACATCAAATTCTTGAAATAACAACAAAGGTTATTATATAGACGAACATAGAATTTTATAAATGAATTAGGCAAATATCTTAGAGGTAAAAAGAAAAAATCTGACTTAGCACACTCAAAATATTTTGTCCGACAAGGAGAAGATACAGTTGAAGATACAATTATGAAATGGGAAGGCAACATTGAGAAAATTTTGTAGGGTGCAATACAAAGAGTCTGGAATTAGAAAATTAAAATACATGAAGAACAGAAAGAGAAAGACCAATGGATATTGTGAGATTCAGGAGGAAAGAAGTGGGATGATGTCTGCGACAGTCCTAGAAGCCAGTGGTTGGGTATCTTGTCAAGAAGCAGAGAGAACAGGCAGTGCCAGGTGCGTGAACATATAAATAAAATGTGTGTCTTGATATTTATGGCATGTGGAGGAAATTGATGAGAGCTCACTTTAAAACACAAAAATAAGTGAGGATAAAAAGCTATATGTGTAGCCCTGGCTGGTTTGGCTCAGTGGTTAGAGCGTTGGCCCGCGGTCCAGAGAGACCCGGGTTCGGTTCCCACTAAGAGTACGTACCTCAGTTGCAGTTTGTCCCCGGCCCCGGTTGAGGTTGTGCGGGAGGCAGCCACTCGATGTGTCTCTCTCACATCGATATTTCTCTCTCTTTCTCTCTCTTCTTCTCTCTCCCTCCCACTATATCTGAACAAAAATGGAAAAGTGGCCTCAGGTGAGGATTAAAAAGAAAAGCTATATGTGTATATGGTTTCTACATTTCCAGTGAAGAGGTAAATTACTAAATTATGATGTCGTTAGGTATGTATGATAATACAGTGTATCTAGAATAGCCACTTAAACAGCATTCAAAGATATATAGTTAACACACCAATAATAAAATTTAAATGAAATGTTAAAAATATAGTTTAAAGATAAGGAAAAGCAGGAGAGGGAAAAATAAGAACAAATAATAAAGGGATAAACAGGAAAAAATAAGACAAAGTGGTAAATGTAAATAACAATCTTATCCGTGGCTACATTATATCTAAAGGGTCTAAACACAATTAAAAAACAGAGATTGTAAGATTGGCTTATATTTTAAAAAATCAAACAAAACCCTACCTACTATATGCAGTCTATAAGAAATTCACTTGAACTCTAATGATGTAAAGGAGTTAAAAGTAGAAGAATGGCCCTGGTTGGTGTAGTTCAGTTGGTTGGAGTGTCATCCCATATGCCAGTGAGTTTGGGGTTCAATTCCCAGTCAGGGCACATACCTAGGTTACAGTTACAGGTTTGATCCCCAATCTCGGGGCATGTACAGAAGGCAACCAGTCAGTGTTCTCTCACATTAAAGTTTCTCTCTCTCTCTCCAAATATATGTGTGCGTGTATATATGTATTCTCTCTCTCTCTCTCTCTCTCTCTCTTTCTCTCTCTCTCTCTCTCTCTCTCTCTCTCTCTCTCTCTTCTCCTCTGTCTTTAAAATCATTAGGTGAAAAAGAAAATAGTAAAAGAGTGAACCATGTGACTGAATCTTGAAAACATCTTGCTAAGTGAAATAAGCCAGACACAAAAGATCACCTGTTGTCGGGCTCCATTCATATGAACTGCACAGAATATGCAAATCCCTAGAAACAGGAAGCAGAATAAAGATGACCCAAAGCTGGTTATAAGGGGGCATGAAAGAGATTGTTTAATGGGTTCAGCATCTCTGTTTGAGATGATGAAAATGTTCTGCTGATCACCGCCTAGCATGGAGTATGTATTTAATGCCACTGCATCGAGGTTAAAAAGTAAATTTTATGTTATGTATATCTTACCCCATTCACAAACTAGAAAGATGATACGTGTGCCATACAAACACTAACCACAAGAAACATTAACTTTTCTGACTTGTTTCACTTAGCATGCTCTTCATCCACGTTGTCACAAATGGCAGTGTTTCATCTTTAAGTGGCCGAGTTTGTGTCCAATAGCTGCTGTCACAAATCAACACAAACCTAGTGGCTTAAACCAATACAAATTGATTATTTCACAATGTTGGGGCGTGGGGGGAGGAGTCAAAATCAGGCTCTTTGGTATAAAGTCAAAGAATACGGAGACATTCACTACTTCATCTTAGTCCAGAATCAGAAATCAGAAATACATTTGATTGCTATATTTATACTGACCCTGTATCTGGTGATACTGGGAAACTCCTTTTAATTTGAGTAACACATCTTTATATTACATTGACTTTTCCATGCAACCCACTGTTGAATCTCTGAAGAATACGTTATTATTCTTATCCATTTCGTGCTTATCATTTTGTATTATTTATTTGGTTGGTACCTCCAGTGTGTCATAAGGACAATACTTGGCTCATTCCCGATCACAGAGGGCAGGACTTCAAGGTCTCCACTTTAAGAATGATATCTAGTGTTGATTGCTAAACATGCCTTTATAAATTAGGAAATTTCCTTTCAGTTTGATGAGTTTGTATTTTCATTGTGAATTGCTGGTACATTTCTCCAAAATCTTTATCTGCCTCTGTTGAGATGAGACTTTTTTTACTCATTCTCTTAATGGGTTGGATTATATTGTTGTTGTTTTTTATAATTAAATTTGTTGGGGTGCCCTGGCCAGTTTGGCTCAGCGGTTAGAGCATCAACCTGCGGTCCAGAGAGATCCGGGTTCACTTCCTGCTGGGGGCGTGTACCTCAGTTGCAGTTTGTCCCCAGCCCTGGTTGGTCCTGAGGGTGGCAGCCACTCAATGTGTCCCTTTCATGTCGATGTCTCTCTCTCCCTCCCACTCTATCTGAGCAAAAAATGGAAAAATGTCCTCGGGTGAGGATAAAAAAAAATAAATAAATAAATAAATAAATAAATAAATAAATAAATAAAATGTATTGGTGTAACATTGGTTAATAAGATTATATACGTTTCAGGTGTACAATTCTATGGTACATCACCTGTATATTACACTGTGAATTTTTTAAACATTTTAAACTTCTCTACCCTTTCCCCCCCAAAATAACAGTGTAGTCATATGTTGTCCTTTCTCTACATCACTGAATCTATTTTTTCTTTATTGATTTTAGAGAAAGAGAAAGGGAGAGGGAGAGAGAGATAGAAACATCAATGAGAGAGAATATTGATTGGCCACCTCCTGCCTGCCCCCCACTGGGGATTTGGCCCACAACCTGGGCATGTACCCTGACGGGGAATCTAACAGGCGACCTCTTGGTGCATGGGTCCACGCTCAACCACTGAGCCATACCGGCTGGGCTATGTCACTGAATTTTATTTGTGAATATGTTTAGTGGTTTGCATCCAAGTTCATGGAAAAGATCTCCCTGTGGTTTTCCATTTTTGTAATCTCCTTGACAGGGTTTGGAGTCAATCTTTTTCTAGGCTGATAAAGTGTGCTGAGGTGTGCTCTTCTTCTTTTTTAAATTTATTTTAATTCTTGAAAGTATTATGGATGTCCTCCCATTGACCCCCTCCACCCCACTCCTGCCCTACCCTCCAGGCCTTCACTGCATTATTGTTATGTCCATGGGTTATACATACATGTATATAAGTCCTTTGGTTAATCTTTTCTTATCCCCTTCCTTCCCTGTGAGATTTATCATGCTGCTTCTTTTTCTGCTTTCATAAAATATTGGTATAAGTTTGGTGTGTGTGCATGTGTGTGTGTGTGTGTGTGTGTGTGTGTGTGTGTAAATGTATAAACATTTAGAAAAAAGTCACCAACGAAGCCTTCTGAACTGATACATTTTTATGTTGCAAAATAATGACCACCACAGCATTAGCTAATACCTCTCTCTCCTGTTACAGAATTTCCCTTTCTTTTTGAGGTGAGAACATTTAAGACCTACTCTTTTAGCAACACTCAAAAATGTGATACAATAGTGTCAGCTATAATTATCATGCTGTACATTAGATCTCAAAATTTGTCAATCTTGTAACTGGAAGTTTGTACCTTGTAACCAATAACTCCACATTTCTCCCTCCCCCAACTGCTGGTAACTGACTCTCCTCTTGTTTCTATCTTTGTTACTTCCTTATATTACACAGTGTTCCAATGTAGTAGAACGTTCACTGCAAAGTCAATGTATTTAATGTGTACATAAGGTGATACAGTTTTCTATTAATTCTTATGTCTATTTAGTAAATTGTGCATTTAATGGTGTCCATTTTAACTACACTGTCCAATACATTGGCATCAAATTGTTTGTTTTATTAATCAGAGAGAGAGAGAGAGATTGATTGATTGCTCCACTTATTTATACACTCATTGGTTAATTCTTGTATGTGCCCTGACCAGGGACAGAACCTGCAACCTTGGTATTTTGGGATGACAGTCTAACTAACTGAGCAACCCAGCCGGGGCCCGGCATCAGTTTATAATGCTATGGTATCTATTTAAAGTCTGTAGGCCTTGTGATTCTGTCTTGATAGTGGTCATGTGTGTCTTCTCTCCTTTTCCTTTGTCCACTGTGGCTAAGATTTATAAGTGTGATTAAAGTTTTCAAGAATAAATATTTTTTTTGGCTTTGTTGCTTTTTCTCTATTTTTGTTTGTCCTCCTTGGTAATTACTCATTATTATACCCCTCTTTCTAGAACAATTTGCTATTCTTTTCCCAAATTCTTGAGGCAACAAACTAGGTCCTTGATCCTATAGGCTTTCTTTTTCTAATATATTCACTCATGCTTCTTCATTTTCTTATTTCATTCATTTGGTGCATAATATTTACATTATCATTCGTTTAAAGCAGTCTCTCACTTCCTGTCCATAATCAATTCACACATTGGTTATTGAAAAGTCTGTTGTTTTGACTTCTCAGTGTAGAGATATTAGTTATCTGTGATTACAGAATCAGGTGACTCTCAGAGGGTCCCAGGACATGCAGAAGGTCCATGTCAGGTCTCCAGAATGACTGGGGCCACTAGCTGAGTAGCCATGGGGGAAGCTCCCATACCTTCTGTGGTCCCTGCAGGCCCCCTCCCTGGAGTGGGCAGTCTGGGTCCATCCTGGGCTGGTGGATGGCCAGAGTAGCACACACGCTGGACTCATCTGAGGGCTCCTCTGATGAAATTAAGTTGGTATTGTCTTCTATCTGAGGGCCAAGAGGTTCAGTTGGGCATAGGTCACATCCTGGGGGGCATCAGATGCAGCAGGCTGGAGTAGGGAGAGAGAGGGGGATGAAACATGGTTCATGCTGGAGAATCCCAGGAGTCTGAAGAGGACGAGACCCACCTGAGTGACCTTTTCTGCTTGCCTGCCCTTCATGTCCAGAAATACCCCCAACAGGGAGGAAGGAGAGGTGCCCATTCCCTGCCCGAGTCTTGATTTTGGGTGGTTCAACTGGGCGTATGTCACTCCCTGGGGGTCTTCATCATGCCTGTTCTGTGGAGAGAGACAGTGAGACAGAAACAGCATCTCCTGGTTCTACTGTTGAAACCCTCCTGTCAGGATGCCAGAGTGAGGATTTATGTTAGATCAGATTAGGTTCTTCTCCGGATGGAATCTATAGGGATTTCGTAAGCCTTGGGGCATCTGGATGCTTCTGTGGTTCCGACTCATCCCAACATGCTTTCTCTCACTCACTTAGCTCCAGCCTCGTGGCCCATCTTTTTGAAGGAGTGTGTCCTGCCTCAGGACCTTTGCACCTGCTCTTTTCTCTGCTCGGCCCATCCACATGCCGTCTACCCCCTCCTCTTGCTTTATTTTCCTTCACAGCACTCTGCTCTCTAGGACACTGTCACTTGTTTGCATACGGTCCCCCTCACCCACAGGTGAGCTTGAGGGGTGTGGAAACAGTGTCGCTCAGGGCTGCACCGCGGCACCTATATGGAGGTGTGAACAGTGGGCTCCCCGTCACATCTGATGAGGGAATAAATGAGAGGATCTTGGGGACCTGTGGGGGATTCACTTATTCATTCATGCATCTTCCTGAGACCTGGGGCTGCACAGGGTCAGACAGAGGACGAGGAGTCAGCAAAGGGGACCACAGAGGAGGGGTCATGAGGTCACAAGGAAACCAGGAGGAGTGAGTCACAGCAGGATGACCTGGGTGCCCAGAAACAGAGGTCAGTGTGGACACTGCTGAGAACCAGGTGATGAGAGGACTGAAAAGTGTCCATTGGATTAAACTGGGCAACATGAGCTCCTTGGTGCCTGGACAGAAGCAGGGTCTCACCTGAGAGTCCAGCTCCACGCTCTCCCCAGGCTGTGGGTCCTTCATGGCAGCATCTGCTGGGGCAGAATGGGGTGTGTCTCCTGGCAGGGTCCCCAAGATCTCAAGGCTGTAGACCCCACCTGCTCCCAGATGGCCCACTAACTAGGGTGAGGTGAGGCACCAGGTCACCCAGGGTGGATTTTAGTCCTTCTCACCTCTGACCCCCACACCCTTCAAACCTATCCCCTCCCCCATTATCTCCTGAAATCCCCGGCCCCCTCCCCCAGGGCAGCTGTCTCTCACACAGGACCTCTTCCTGGGCGTCCACAGCCGGGATGGAGCTGGGGGAGGACACAGGAGTGTTAGGGGCAAAGCTGGGCTACAGGAGGTGGGGTCTGGGGTCTTTGGGGCAGGAACTACCTGATATGCAGTCCTCTGTTTTCGGGCTCTGGGTCTGTGGACCCTGCAGAAGATTAGACATCAGCCCCGTGTGATTCGGTGTAAAGAAGGAAACCTTAACACACACTTCTGCATATGTTTCATATTCCATGAGATTGAAGAACATGAAAGGTTACCATAAATGTATATATGTGTGCCCTGGTCAGTTTGGCTAAGTAGTTAGAGCATTGGCCCTCAGACCAAAAAGTCTCAGGTCCAGGTCCAGTCAAGGGCACCTACCTGAGTTGCAGGTTCCATCCCTGGCTCCCGTAGGGGTCATGCAGGAGGCAACCAATTGATATGTCTCTCACATGATTGCTTCTCTCACATGATTGCTTTCTCTCTCTCTCTCTCTCTCTCTCTCTCTCTCTCTCTCTCTCTCTCCCTCCCTCCTTCCTTTCCTCCCTCCCGCTCTATCTAAAAATCAATGGAAAAATATCCATGGGTGAGGATTAACCAAAAAGAAAAAAAAAATGCATTACATGTGTGCTGACATTGTTTCCTTCTATCTTTTCTGATTTGAGATTCTGGAGACTTATTTTTCTCAGCTGACCTCCATCTTTTATGTTTTCCTGTGTCAGGTGCTCCAAGCTCCCCCTTCTGTGACCCAGGTCACCCCATGGCCTGCTCACCTGACATCCTGTTTTTGCGCTGACATCGGTGTCTGAGGAAGAAGAAGAGGGAGAGCAGCAGAACAAAGGCCAATGAGACCCCGATCAGGACGTACAGGTACCATGGGGGACCTTGGACATGAGTGACGTCATAAATGAGTCAATGATGTCATTTACTGAGCACCTACTGTGTGCGAGGCAGGTGCTGGGGTCTGTCATTCAACCCTCTCCCCTCACACAGTCATGCACCAGGGACTGTGCCCCACCACCCAGGTCACTGAGGTTCAGAGAGGTCAGTCACTTGCCCCAGGTCACCCAGCCTGGACGGGGCAGGGCTGAGACTGGAACCTGGGACTGTGGGTGCCCTGTGCTCTCCTCAGGCTGCCCCAGAGGGACCTCAGCTTCGTGCTCTGGGCTCCTCATCTGCAGGGGCCTGTCCATGTCTCATCTCAGCTGAGGGTCCTTCCTTATTCCCCACCCCCAGCACAGCAGGGACACAGGAGGGGCTGGGGTGTGGGGTGGCCTCTGTGTCTCCCCTGGATCCATCTCCACCCTGCAGATGCCCCCTAGGAAAGTGGGGTGGGCTGGGGCTCTGCCTTCCTGAGCTATGTGGGGCCCCTTATGTCACCTGATCTGACAGCAGCCTGTGAGCAGGAGGGGACCAGGGATGAACAGACATGACCCAACACTCAGGGAAGAGAAGGGACCACCTGACCCCCCGCAGGAGCAGCAGAGCTGGGAACTGAACCAGGTCTGACTCCAGCCCTCTCTCCTCTGAGCTGAGCCTGGGCTGAGGGAAAGGACCTGGATGCCCCAGACCCTGGTCCTGCCTGCCCCTCCCTGTGCATGTCATCATCACTGCTGCAGAGGGGACAGTCCCCACACCACATCCTGGGTGTCCCTGTGAGGCCCCCTCCCCCAGGAGGTCAGAACCAGAACTAAAAGGAAATCTAAGCTCTGGGCCATGAATCTCTCCTTTTACACTTGGGGATCCTGTGGCCCAGACAGGGGAAGGGTGCGTCCAAGTCAGTGTCTGCAGAGGGGCCTGAACCCCTCATGACTCAGCCCCTGTCCCCCATGGACACACCCACCACCTCCCTAAGGAGATTGTCACTTACCCCAATGTGGGTCTGAGTCTGTTGGGGAAGGGACCACATCCTCAGAGCTTCCTGGGGATCAGACGTGGGGTGATGAGCTGGGCCTGCCTTCTCCCAGCCTAAGCCTGGCTGTGCCCCCCCAGTTTGGGCCCCAGCATCTCCCTCTGCCATGACTTTTCCACATGTCATCTGCTAACCTCAAAGTCCCTGGAGCCCCGTGGCTCCCCTGAAATCTCTCCCCGACTCCCAGCCCTCCTGGGACACAGGACTGTCCGAGAGTTTCTGAGGGGACACTAGATCCGCTGTGACACGGAACTGCCCTGTGCTACCTCTGAGCAGAATTCAGAGGGACTCACCAGGTATGGAGAAGGGGGACCCTCTGGGTGAGGGGATAGGACCCTGAGAGGGCCCTGGGAGGGAGAAGAAAAGTGGGTGAGGGTTGGGTTGATGCTGGGGTCCCCACCTCACCCAGACTCGTCCTACATCTGCCATGTGGTCCTGCTAAAAATCCTACCCTTGGCCTACCTACTGCCTTCCCAGCCCGGGTGAGGGGGACGTGAACAGGAAAAGGAGGGTCTCTGAGGGGCAGATGTCCTCTGGGTGACCACCCCTAGAGCCCTCCCTCCCTCCCTTTCAGCTCCTCTTTCTTCTGGGGACAGACCCTGAGCCGACAGCACAGAAAGACAGGGCCAGGGGCCCCTCACCTGAGACCCGCAGCTCCAGGGGCTCACTGGGGTATGACAGCAGGTAGGGGTAGGTGCTGACTGAGCTATAGCACCTGTAGGTGCCCCTGTGAGCGGAGGTCACAGGACTCATGGAGAACTCTGCCTGGTACTGCTGAGCTCGGTGCTCTGAGGGAAGACGCAGGGGGGGATCGGCTGCCCCCTCCTTGGACAGAAGGAAAGTGTCCTTCGGGTACTGTGACTGACACAGCAGGGTCACGTTCTCTCCTGAGGTCACCGTGGTGCCCGGCTGCACCGAGAGGGCGGGTCTGTCAGAGAGCTGTCCTAGAGAGAGGGAGGGTGGGTGAGGGGCTGCCTGCCACCTTGTACTGACCTGAGGGTCACCAGGCCTCTCTCTGAGGACCCTCCTGTCTGTCTTTGTTCTCTCTGAGTCTCCCCTCTCCCCTCACACCCCGTCTCTCTGTCTCTCCCTCCCTGGGCCCTGCACTTTCATTCTGACCATGACCACCTGCGACCCCGCAGCAGGGTCTGTGCAGAGTCTGGTCCCTGAATGAACCCCTGACTCCTCACCTGCCACCAGGATGTCCAGGGGTTCACTGGGGGCCGACCACTCGGAGGAGAGGTTGTGTCCACCGTAGCATCTGTACCGGCCCCCGTGGGAGGTGCGCACAGTGTCCAGGGGGAAGTCGGCCTGAGAGAGCCCAGCCTGGGGCTGCAGGACAAGGCTCTGTGTGGGGTCCAGATCCTCCTCCTTGGACAGAGCGAATCTGTCATAGCCGACATCAGAGCCACACTGGAGGGTCAGGCTCTGTCCATAGGTCACGATGGGGCCCTGCTGGGCCAGGAGGTAGGGCTTCCCAGACACACCTGAGAGACCAGAGTTGAGTACAGGGCTGCTCCTCCCATAACCCCTTCTCCTGGCCTGGCCCTGGTCTCACTCTCTTTCTGGGTCTCTGCCCCAGGAGCCCCTGTGCTCCCCTAACCCCACCTCTCACATGGGGCTCCCCTCCCAGCAAGGATCCCAATACCCTGTCTGGTGCCTCAATCCATGGAAGGGACAATAATGGACTCACCTGAGACCAGAAGCTCCAGGGGGTCACTGGGGTGTGACCACACCTGGGGGCTGTTCCTGTAACAGACATAGCATCTGAAAGTCCACCTGTGGCTGGGAGTCACGGGACCCACAGGGAACAGGGCCTGGAACTGTCCTGTGGTGTGCCGTTTTGAGTCCAGGGTCCAGGAGAGCCTGTGTTCTCCTTCCTTAGTCAGAATGAAACTGTTATATTGCTGCCATGAGCCACACTGGAGGGTCACGTTCCCTCCTGAGGTCACGACAGGGCTGGGCAGGGCTGAGAGGCTCGGTTTGCTGTAGGATCCTAGGAGGGAAGGAGACAGGATATTAAACGGGGTTCACACCTCCCTCGTGTCCCCCAGGGCTGGGCTGAGAGACAGGAGACACCCTTGAGAGCAGCCCTTCCTAGGGCAGAGGCTGAAGCTGAGACCCCTGAGTGTCCCCTCACCTGTCACCACCAGCTCCAGGGGGTCACTGGTCTCTGACCAGCCAGAGGTGCTGTAGTAGGCACAGGTATATATCCCTGCATGTAGATCTGTCATGTATGTGATGGAGAACTTGGCCTTGTCACCGGGCTCCTGTGGGTTCTGTTTATCCCAGAGCTCCAATAATACAGACTTATAAAGATGAAACTCCTTGACCCCCAGGGTGGCCTGACACCAGATGGTCACAGGTCTCCCCCAGGGGATCACAGAGCCTGGCTCCGCCCAGAGGGTCGGTTTCAGGAGAGTCCCTGGAAGGAAACCAGAGGCTGGGTCAGAAGACATCCCCACCCCCAGTTCCAGCTCTCAGCCCCAAACCTCCCACACGTCCACATCCATTAACCAAGAACTACAGTTCTTCACCCCAGCTGCCCCGGGTGCGGCCCCGTGTCCCCAGTGACGAGTGGACCGGGGACAAGGGGACACTCACCTGCCTGCACTGGGGTCCTCAGGCCCACACTCAGTCCTGGAAGAGAGTTTGTGTGAGAAATTTGGCCTGAATGTGGAGCACAATCTTCTTCCCCAAAAGTCTCCCAAGCCCTGGGGTCCCTCCCAGACCAGGGCCTGAGAGTGGGGTGGGGTCCCTCCCAGACCAGGGCCTGAGAGTGGGGTGGGGTCCCTCCCAGACCAGGGCCTGAGGGTGGGGTGGGGTCCCTCCCAGACCAGGGCCTGAGAGTGGGGTGGGGTCCCTCCCAGACCAGGGCCTGAGGGTGGGGTGGGGTCCCTCCCAGACCAGGGCTCCCCCTCCCCTCCGCACATCTCACCGAGCCAGACCAGGGCTGTGAAGGTGCTGGTCATTACGTCTCCTCTCTGTTCCTGGCTGTGCAGATGGAGGGGACTGCAGTGCCCTCCAGAGAGACAGACACAGAGGGTGTGGCCATCAGACACTGGCCCTCCCCGTCATGGGGTGGTGACGTCAGCAACCCCACAAAAGGGAACAGGCCCTCCCTGGGAGCCTGCCTCTCACTTCCTCAGTGCTGAGGCTGAAGCAGGCACCAGCCTCTGCAAACATCTGTGACTACATCTGGGTCCCCATTTTCCTCATAATCTTCTGTCCCAGTGGTCTGAGCACCTTTTTATCCCAACCGACAGCCCGTATTCCATGAGGGTTTGCAGTGTGCCTGGCCCAGAAATACAACCTGAACCACACAGATTCAAACCCTGAGTTTGCAAATATCAGAGTGAGGAAGGAGAGAGAGAGAGAGAGAGAGAGAGAGAGAGAGAGAGAGAGATCCAGTGTATTGGTTTTCTGTGGCTGCCATAACAAATAAGCACAAGTTATTGGGTTAAAGCAACACAGATTTATCATCTTACCCTCTGGACATCAGAATTCATTTCCCTGTCTGTAAGCTTCGCACACTGCTGGTGTCCTGCACCTCACCATCCTCTTCCATCTCCGCAGTCAGGGTTACATTACTCTGTCTGTTTGTCACACCTCTTTGTCTCTGTCCCCCTGCCTCCGTTTTTCCCTCCTAAGGACTTCGTGATGACATGGAGCCCCCCTGGGTCCCCCAGGGTCAAGGCCCATCTCAACAACCTGAACCTAATCACACCTGCAAAGTCCATGTGAGGCTGTTACTCGGCAGGGATTGGCCCAGAGCAGGTCTGCCTCCGGCTGGCCGGTAGTGTTTGGGTTCCTGACTTGGTGCAGGAAAGATTTCACAACGCAAGTCCCGGTGATTTTGAGAGTGTTTATGACAGCTGGGGACTGTGAGGCAAAGGAAGGGCATTAAGTACAAGAAGTAACAGGAGAGCCAAGTGGTGCTCTGCTCTGACTGCCTAGAAAAGTTATGAGACTTGGCTGGTGTGGCTCAGTGGTTGAGCAGGGACCCAGGCACCAAGAGGTCACCAGTTGGATTCCCAGGCAGGGCACATGCCCAGGTGGGGGGCCCGATCCCCAGTGGGGGCATGCAGGAGGCGGCCGACCGATGTCCTCTCTCATGGATGTTTCTATCTCTCTGTCCCTCTCCCTTACTCTTCTCTAAAATCAGTAACAACAACAAAAATTTTTTAAAGAAAAGTTGTAAGAGAAAAGGGAGGGAGCCAAGTCTGCTTTCGCTCACTGGGAAGTCAGGGAAAGGGGAGCCTTGGAGACGGGATCAAGGGTTAGCCTGGGAGGAGCTGCTGCTGCCCACTACCCCCTGGTTGCAAGTCTTGTGGGGACCCTTAGAATGTAGGAGGAAGTGAAAAGTTCATGCCCAAGAAAAGGCATGGGAGCGCTCCAGAGAGTGTGTGGAATTGAAAGCCCTGTCTTCTCCTTGTTGAATCATCAGCCCTTTTCACTCTGTGCTCCAGCTCACGAAAGACAATAGGTGGAAATTTACACGACAAGTCAATACACTGAGGGATTAACAGTTGCTTAATTGATCACCAGTGCTTAACCTAAGAATAGTTAGTAATAAACACTAGATTGATCACACACCAAGGAGAAGACTAATGAGGGTAATACATTATTTAGAGTCAACCATTGATTATTGATTACTTTGTTACCAAGCCTTAATTTTCTGAATAAATAAGAAATTAATGATACACCAAGGAGAAGATCAATTAAGGAGGATTTTAAAATGAAATTCAGGGTTTAATTTATTTTATTTATTTTTTCACGTTCATTTAAATTTTATTTTTGTTACAGCTGTTTTTCTTTTCTTACCCCATTGACACCCTCCTCCCAATCCCCCCAACCCTGTCCCTGGCTTTGTTGTCCATGTCCATTGGTTATGCGTACATGCATATAAGCTCTGTGGTTTATCTCTTCCCTCCCCCCACCATCCCCTCAGGGTTTATTTTAAAAGTATGAAACAATGATAACAAAAATACGATTCACTTTTTTTCCCCATAGAATAAGGCAGAGGAGGGCAGTGGGTTTCAGTGATGTTTCTGCCTCACGGAGGCTGTGCCGAGAGATGTGAGGAGAGGGCCCTGAAGGTCATGCTTACTGAAAGGATGTCGTGGGTGTGCATCCATCACCCCTTGTGCATGTTTCAACACCGACCTTTTAAAGGAAGCAAAACAGCTATTTCACCACACGCCAACCTCTGTTGTGGTCCCAAAAGAAGATGTGTGGCTTCTCCTTTTTCAGAAAACAAGTTCCGCCTGTCATGAAGCCCCCATTCTAGATACTGTCCTAACACACCATGGAGAGAATGGTAGGTTCTCAGCTCACGGTCAGAAGATGAATGGTCTCTTCCCAAGGCTTTTGATCTTCCCACACGACAATGGTTGTGTTCGTCTCCAAATCTTCCCAGATAGCATTGGATTCATTAAGGATTCTTCAAGCAAGTGCATGAATGAAGACCTTGGGTTCCTGTTCTGATCACTGTGGGTCATAGAAGGGTTGATGACATGACCAAGGGCTGATGGACAAGGGAAGAGCCTCGTGAGAAAAAAGCTATGACTGATGCAAACAAAGAGGTTTATCCAATGGCAACTCATGGTCAGATTCAGATTAGGCACTTTGGGGTGCAATTCCACGGAAGCAATTTTGTCCTTCATTTTCTTTTTCTTTGAACACTATTTTTTATTTATAAGCTACATCTTTTTGTTTATTTCTTTTTATTTATGGTTTTTTTTTTCAGTATGTTATGGCTCTTTACTTTTATTTTTCATTACAGTTTACAGTCCAGTGACTATTTTGTAACTACCCATTTGTATTTCTTAATCCCTTCACCTTATTCACCCAGCCCTTCAACTCCTCCCCCCACCTGGCAAGCATCAGTTTGTTCTTTGTATCCATGAGTTTATTTCTGTTTTGTTTGTTCCTTTATTTTGTTCTATAGATTCCACTTGTCAGAGAAACCTGAAACTCTAGTTTGAAACAATTTATGCACCCCTGTGTTCAGTGCAGGTTATTTACAATAGCCAAGACATGGAAACAATCCAACTGTCCATCAACAGATGAGTGGATTACAAAACCTGTGGTACATATATACAATGGAATATTACTTAGTCATCAAAAAGAATGAAATGATACCGTTTACAGCAGCATGAGTGGACCAGGAAGGTATTGTGCTACATGAAATAAGTCACTCACAGAAAGACATTAAATAGCATACGATTCAACTTATATGTGGAATCTAAAAAACAAAATAAGCAAACAAAATTGAAACAGACTTTTATAGATACAGAGAAGACTGATATTTGCTAGAGAAGAGGTTGGAGGACTGGGTGAATAAGCTGAAGGGATTAAAATGTACAGACTGGTAGTGACAAAATAGTCACAGGGATGTAAATTACAGCATAAGGAATACAGTCAATAATATTACAATGATATGTATCGTGCCAGGTGGGTACTGGAAATATCAGGGAGAACACTGATATGAATATCTAACCATTCTATTCTATACACCTAAAATGAATACCAAATAATATTGAATATAAACTGTAATCTAAAAATAAAATTTAATGTTGGTGAGATAAATAAACAATTCCACATATAAGTGAAATCATGTGGAATTTGTCTTTCTATGACTTGCTTCACTTAGCCTGATATCCTCTAGGTCCATCCATATTGTTGCAAATGGTAAGATTTCATTCTTTTCTATGGCTGATGGTATGTGTTCCATAGTATATAAGTACCATAGCTTGTTAAAAAAATCTATGTCCTTAGTTTTTCTTATTGGTAATTTTTGCTTTCATAACTTGGTCCATCTGGCATCTACCAGATTTTTCCACCCTTTGTAACAAACTATTCATTTGTGGACAGATACTTTGAAACTATGTGCGTATCATGTTCCTCATTAAACTTCCACTTACTAATCTTAGCAGCCACTGACTTATTATAGTGAAGCAAATGCCTCCTCTCTGCCCACATGCATTCATTATATAAAGGTAACTTTGTTTCCACTGCCTTTCCATTTCCGTGAATCACAGCTGATACTTCTTCCATGTCTTTCTGCCATTATACACAGAGGCACATAGTCAGTGTTCTTCCAATACTGTTCTTTTCTTCTTTTCTCTACTAGTTTGTTCTTTTCACTTAACAGTACATCCTAAAATGTACTCCATACAAGGATAACTTCTGTTTGCCTTTCATTTCTGCAAACCACTCTGTTTTGATTAGGCAACTGAGTTTGGGTGCTTGGGGCTTCTTCCCCAATATTTCAAGAACACAAATAATGCTTCAATCAGTAATCTTTGGATATGTATTTTCACATTTCCTGGGACAAAAGCATATTTGCATATGGCGTTTTGGTAGATGATGACAATTTCTTCTTCATATGAACAGGAAACTGGAAAGCTTTATTGAGATATAATAAATATATACCAGAATTACATATATATATATATATTTGTTCTCACCCAAGGACACTTTTGCATCTATCCTCACATAGAGTGAAAGGGAGAGAGAGGGGAAGAGAGAGAGAGAGAGACATCGATGTGAGAGAGACACGCCGAGTGGTTGTCACCCATATGACCCCAACCAGGGCCAGGAACAAATGGCAACCGAGGTACGTGCCCTTAGCGGGAACCGAACCCGGGTCTCTCTGGTCTGCGGGCCGACGCTCCAACCACTGAGCCAAACTGACCAGGGCCAGAATTACATTTTTAAAGTCATGTTTATTCCACATTCCTGTATGGGTTACTCACGTACCTATTTTACATTTAGAAGTACGGTTCTAATTTCATCCCCCTGTTCACCCAAGTTCTTCTTTGCCCAATGATTTCATATTTCATCTCTACAATTATGACATTTCCATACTTGAACATATGTCTGAACTTTATATTACATTGATCTTTTCCATTATTATGCTGTAATTTCTGGTTGACGAGTCCTCTCCTGCTTTCATAGCTGAGCTGTTTGATGTTTTCCTAAGTAGCCTTGGAGTTTTTTCCATACAGACTTGAGTAACAACTCGTTTAGGTCTCGGTACACAATGGAGACGGAAGTACTTTTATAAATTAACATGTGGAGAACTGACATTTTTATGACGCTGAGTCATTCAATAACAAGCATCTCTCCTTTAGTTCTCTTCTTGTGCCATTCAGAAATGTTCGAAAGGTGTATGTGTGTGTTTGTAGGTTTTACACAATTCTTAGTACATGTATTCCTTAGAAGTTTGCTTTTGTGTTGTTGACATTCAAGGTGAGGTTGTGATGCAAGGTGAGGTGTGTGTGAAAGCTGTTGGTTCATATAAATTCATTGCATATCAGTGACTTATTTGATTTTGTTTTTTTTAGTATTGAATGACTTTTATCATTGAGTCTCTGGGGATTTACAGTCCACTTCCTTCCCTCTGTGTCCCTCCATCTCCCTTCCTGACATATTGCTCCTGGCCCACAGCCTGTGTTTGGTCAGTTCCCGAGACTTGCACATTCAAACTCTCCCTGGTGCTCAAAGTCTTCAAAAAACGCCCCCATCCTGCCTTCCAGCCCTGTTTTCCATGCAATAGCTTCTCCAGAGTAGAACAGCCACCATGCATGTAGGGGCAGGTTATTGGATTGCCAAAAATTTAGTAAAAAAAAAAAAAAAATGGGTGTAGTCTATAACAAATCTTTTACTACTCCACACCTTTTTGCTTGGAAACAGCCTGGTTTTCTAATTCAGAGAGAACAATTAAAATGTGATGAAGCCCTGGCTGGTTTGCTTCAGCGGTTAGAGCATCGGCCCATAGTCCAGAGAGACCCAGGTTCGGTTCCCGCTAAGGGCACGTACCTTGGTTGCAGTTTGTCCCCTGCACCGGTTGGGGTTGTGTGGGAGGCAGCCACTCGATGAGTAGCTTTCACGTCGATGTTTCTCTCTGTCTCTCTTCCTCTCTCTCCCTCCCACTCTATCTAAAACAAAAATGGAAAAATGTCCTTGGGTGAGGATAAAAATAAAAATAAAAAATCTGTAAAAGTGCTAAAAATGCAAGAACTGTAAAGATCTGTCTAATTTGGAAGACGTGTAGCATTACAAAATAGTAGTCCAAACGTATAAAACAGTAAGAATGAACCGTTGCTCCAGGACAGGATTTCCAGAAGTTTCTCTGAGAGTTGGCAGAACCAGATGACATGTTCAGGCAGGTGACCCTTTGGTTTATGACCCTTTCTTTACGTTTGCTTCCAGAAAATTTTCACGTGCTTCTTTCCACATCACAGCTAATGTGGCTGTCTTACTCATACTTGAATTCTCCGCTATCCCTGAGTATATGCAGTGAGGTCCAAGCAGGAAACCGATGTTCAAGTCTTGTTCTGTCTCATTCAGTCAGCTACCTTTGGATGGCCTAGATGTGGTTCCCATCCTTTGAGAGTTACTGTGTTAAGCACTGTGATTGTTTAACTCTTTTTTAAAAATCTGATTGAATTTGTTGAAATTAATTTCAATGGGCATTGCCTAGAATGATCTGAAATTGTGGTTTGTTCTAGGCAGTGATTAATCATAGTTTAGCTGTGTTCTCCTTAAAAGGACAAAGGGGCCTTTTAATTTCAGAACAAAGCACAAGATGGGGAAGGAGGAAGTAAGAGTTAACAAAATGTAGAATATTTTGTTTTAGGGTCTAGAAGACAAAGAATAATGATGATGGTGGTGGTGACAAAGATCATGGTGATGGTGATGATTTTGATAGTTATGGTGATAATGGTGGTGATGGTGACGGTGATGATGATAATGATGGTGATGATGGTGATTATATCGACAGTTATGGTGTTAATGATGGTGGTGATGGTGATGGTAACATTAATGATGATGACGGTGATAATGGGGATGGGATGGTTATGATGATGATAGCAACCATGATGATGATGGTGATGGTGATAATGATAGTAATGGTGATAGTGGCATTGATAATGATGATGATGGTGCTGAGGATGATGGTGATGGTGGTGATGGTGAGGATAATGATGATGATGGTTATGATGATGGTGATGTTAATAATGGTGGTGGTGATGATATTGATTATGGAGATGATGATGGTGATGGTAATTATACTGCTGCTGCTGCTAATGATGATGATGATGATGATGATGATGATGGTAATGATTGTTAAGATGGTAATGGTGGTGATAGTGATGATGATGATGTTGATAATTATGATAGTTGCAGTGATGGTGATAATGGTGATTATTATGGTGGTAGTGATGATTATGGTGTTAGGTAATATATCTTGAGCAAAACTCATATGCAGCCTTTACTCTTTTAAGTCCAAGATTAGAAAACTAAGCTCCATAGACTAATTTTTCTCCCTCAGATATTTTTAGTAAATAGTTTTATTAAATCACAATGTTGTTCATTGACATATTTGTCATAGTTGCTTTTACACTACAATGGTAGAATTGAGTAGTTAGGTCAGAGATATTAAGGCCCACAGAGCCAAAAATATTTACTATATGGTCCTTTAAAGAAAAAGATGCTAACCCCTGTTCTAAGTGGACCCGTTTACAGCTTAAAAGGTGGGCACTCTCACTATCTTGTTGATGTGAGATACAAAATTTAAGGATTTTTCTCTGGGTTCTACAGAGCATATCAATCGATTTTATACATGACATCAGACTACAGAGGTGAGGTGCTTGGTCACTGTGTAACAGCGACCCCTCTAAAAAGGATTAAAGGTCAAAGGCCCTCAATATTCAAGCCCCTCCCATCTGGTGTTAAGGGTCCAACAGAATGCACGATTCTTCTCTACACCTAAACCTGGGTTGAAGTTTCAGACAATCTGATATTTCTCCTGTGGTTTCCAGTATAATGTCTGTTGTGACAATATCCTGCTTTTGTGCCCTGACGTTGTGCTGGGACCTCTCTGTTATTTTTTCATGTTTTGTGAGAGCCCTGTTTATGGTGTTGGGCTAGTGGGAGCAATGCCCCTCTCCTTTTTCATTCCTTATGCCTGTATCCTTGAGCACAGCGTTCCCTGGGGCAAATCTCTAGTTGTAAGACTAATGATCATAGCTGCATATCACTTCCTCTGAACCAGAAAACCCCCCCTGTTGGCTGAAGCAACTCGTGCACTGAATAGTGGTGTGTGAGATGCTACTTGCTCCATCCTCTCTCCAACAATCAATATCAACATGAAAACAACAACAAAGAGACACGTGTTTATCATCTGAGAATTCACAATCTCATTTAATTGGACCAATGCCCTGAAGGATCCATCATCCCTACCAGTTACACAGAAAGACAAGAACCACTCTAAGATATACTGTCACTTGCATGAGACCTTGCAGGAGAGTGTGGATTCCAGGTGCAGAGGTTGTGGGAGGAGCCACACGGAAAGTACCAGGTGAAGAGAAAAAAACCTGCAGAATCCAGACAGGGTCCTTGGGTAGCATTGTGAGCCTGCACCTTCCAAGCTGGAGGTGAATTTTATTGGGTGCAATTTAATGGAGGCAACTGCTCAACCATGTTTTGAATCTTTACACTTAGAGTTAAAGGCACAGAGCAGCTCATACCAGGGAATGTAGACCTTAGAAAGAAGACACTTGCAATAGAATGTAGGCACAGAGCATGAGACAGAGTGAAGTAATGGACATAATCTCCTTGCGTGTGATGTTGCATCATGGAGATGGGGAATAAGAGAAGCCAAGCATTCAGGAGACAGCAGTGCAAGGGCTGGGATCCTGGTGGAGGAGCCTCCCCCAAGGAATATCCCCAGCCCCTGTCATTACCTCTGGCCCTAACAATATTGTTTCATTTTCTGTAAGTTCTCAGCACAGATGTCACATGGCTGATGGCTTCAACTTTCAGAAACTTCTTTCTCATTATAATGTTGCCTGCGTGGCTTGGTTCTAAGGTTCTGTTACAAAACAAGAGGGACGTTTGTGTTTTGTCTTGAGTTTACCCCTAGGAGCCCTCTCTCACTGGACCACACCTGAAACACCAACACCCCAAGCACCACCAGTATCAGTCCGGACAGACCCAGGCGGATGAGATTCTCCACTGTGTGATCTGGGAGCTCGGGACCTGGGGACGAGGGAGAAAGAGGTCACGGAAGGGAGGGCAGAACACACTCAAAGCAGCAGCCAGACCAGTTTCAGGCCCTTTTCATTGAACTGCCCAGTCCCCGAGCTGAAGAAGGTAGGTTACTTACCCCTTGTGGAACCTGGGCTCTGCCCTGATGGGGTGATATTTACAGGAGCCTCTGTAAATCAAAAAAACAGAGAGGGTGAAGAGCCAGATTCCTCTCAGCCCAGCATTCACTCGAGAATCCACCGTATCATATCTCCCTACTCACAGGCCGTTCTATCTACTTTCACGATGATACCTTGTACAACTACCGGGAAGGTGGCAACCCTCGTGTCTCTGATTTCCTCACCCTAGACTTAGCTTTTGGGTCTTAAAAACAAAAAGGGTTCACCACACCCCACACCACACGTTGAGAGTGAAGGTGTTCAAATGCTCTTGAAGTCTGGCTTGTTCTTGGACCCTTCATGAGTCAGGAGCCATCGCTCCAGCTAAATTTAATCTCCTGAAAATGAGTCTTGTGTTTGCCCTCAGATGAGAGTCGTGGATCCATGAATGAGACATTGGTTCCCAGGGGTTTCCTGAGGGTCAGGAAAAAATAGGAGTGAAAACCTGGGGCTATGCCCGTCTTTGCTCAACCTCAAACAGTTCACCCCACTCCTCAGTCTGCAGTGACAACCTTCAACTGATTTTCTTTCGTTATATCACTTATTCATTCTTTCTTTCTCCAAAGAGTTATGGATTATCTAGAAATACATAGACTTATGTACATATATATGTATATACATATATGTGTGTTGTATATGATATATGTATGTTTACATATGGTATATATTTGCACACAAATATGTAAATAATTGGAGTATAATATACATATATATACCATAGACATGTATTATATGATCTATTTATTTCGTTATTGGTTTTAGAGAGAGAGGAAGGAAGAGGGAGACAGAAATAGAAACATCGATGAGAGAGAACACTGATTGGCCACCTCCTGCATGCTCCCCACTGGGGACTTGTCCCACAACCTGGGCATGTGCCCTGACTGGGAATCAAACCAGCAACCTCTTGGTGCATGGGTCGATGCTCAACCACTGAGCCACAACAGCTGGGCTATAATATATATTATATATATATATATGTATATATATACAAATATAAGGAGGTATGTATATAAACATGTACTTGGGTGTGTGTGCACTTGCATACCTATGTGTGTGTTGGTAAAGAGGATAAAGAATAATTAATATTATTAAGTAAAATGGATAACAGAGAAGTTAGCTCTATAACTAGGAAAATATGCAATACAGTTAGGTTTGTTTCAACACTTAAAAAATTATGAAAGGTGTTCAGAGAACATCTTTCTGAATAGGGTCACCAGCCAAGGTTTTGTTTGGAGAAAGATTGTTAAATCTAAACCTGAAGGGTAAGAAGCAGTGAGCTATAGGGAGAGATTGTTAATATTCCTCACATACTAAAGTGTCCGTGTCCTCTGCTTACTCTATTCTATTCTAAAAATGTAACCACACTGCAAGAAGTAGTTGTTTCCACATTCACGTGTACTTTGCGTATGCACAAGGATATTCCTTGCAGGGTGGTTTGAATATAAAACGGCTGGAAACAAAACGCCAAGTTTTAGGACAGTGGCTAAATGCATTCTGATCGTTTCAAGCCAGGGAGTACTGCACAGCCATCAAAAAGTCTAAAGCGGATTCATAGGCACTGATACCAGATCACTCTTTAGAATGTATTCATTCTACCAGTCAGCGTTAATTCATTTTTCAAAAATAGAGCCGTTCACCACAGTGTCTATAAGGTGTTGGTGTTTGTCTACCCGGGGAGCTATGTTTATAGGGTCTCCCTGAATATCTGGGGAAAAGGTAGGGGAGTGGGGCCAGTGGTTGACGCCGGTGGAAAAGACTGAAGGATGGAGCCAATGGAAACAGAGAGTGAAAGGTGCTGTCCACCACTCTCTGTGCGTCCCTTGGAGAGGATCTCAGGTTTGTGCCATGTCCATACATTGCCACTAAGGAAGAGGAAGAAGCCCTGGCCAGTTTGGCTCAGCGGTTAGAGCATTGGCCCACGGACCAGAGAGTCGCAGGTTTGATTTCAGTCAAGGGCACGAACCTCGGTTGCGGTTTGATCCCCAGTCCAGGTGTGGGTCATGTGGGAGGTAACCAGTCGATGTGTCTCATGTCGATGTTTCTCTCTCTGTCTCTGTCTCTCTCTCTCTCTCTCTCTCTCTCCCTCCTTCACACTCTATCTGAAGATAAATAGAAAAATATCCTCGGATGAGGATTAAAAGAAGAAGAGGAAGAAGAAAAGAGCTCTTTGTCTTTTCTGATGATGATGCAACCACGCACAGGGATGAAATCCCAATCGGAGGCGGCGGTGCCTCGACTCAGAAGAGGGCGGAGGAGGGAAAGACGGACAGACTAGTTCACCGAGGGAGGTGGACGGCTGTGGGCTCCTCCAGGCCCCGTGACAGGTGGGATGGGTCGGAAAGAAAGGACCACAGACAAGCTCCTCACCTTCTACCTTGAGCTCCACGGGGTGACTGGGCCGGGACAACTGGCTGGGGTAGCTGCTGAGTGACCCATAGCACCTGTAAGTGCCCTCGTGGTCCAGGGTCACAGGACTCATCAGGAAGGTGGCCTGAAACACCCCGTCTTGGTACCGAGACCTGAGGTGCAGAGGGGGACTGACATCCCCCTCCTTGAACAGGAGGAATGTGTCGAACAGGCTCCCAGTCTGACACCACAGAGTCACCTTCCCTCCGAGGGCCACGGTGGGGCCTGGCTGGGCCGACAGGGTGGGGATCGTGTCCTCGGGGAGCAAGGCTGGGAGAGACAAGTCGGCCGTGTTACGGGAAAACTCCATCCTCACCTGTCCGTCCCTGGACCTCAGCTCAAGGGCATTTGGTTTGCTCCTCCGGCTCCCATTTTTCTACGATCCTCACGCCCCTCATCCCGTGCCCTCTCCTTGTCTGTGCCCAGCGCCCTCCAGTGCCAACAAGATGCCGGTCTGACTGTGAGCTGGGGAGGGGCTCCTCACCTGTCACCAGGATGTTCACGGGGTCACTGGGGGCCGACCAATGGAAGGAGAGGTTGTATCCACCGTAGCACGTGTACTGGCCCCCGTGGGAGCCGCTCACCGGGCCCAGGGAGAAGTCAGCCTGAGAGAACCCGGCCTGGACCTGCCGGCTGTGTCTCTGGGGGAGGTTATGTTCCCCCTTTTTGAAAAGAGCGAATCTGTCGTAGTCCACATCAGACTGACATCGGAGGGTCAGCGTGTCTCCAGGGACCACCACAGGCCCTGGCAGGAGGGACAGAGACGGTTTCCTAGACACACCTGGAAGAAAAGGTGGTCGTACTTGCGAGAGGACCAGGCTCTCTGCCCACCCCTCTCCTCTGGCCCTTCTCCACTGAAGATTCTTCCATGTTGCTGAGCCCTGGAGCCCTGAGCCCTGTTGCCCAACCTCGTCCTACCGGGTGCCCCGTCGGAGGCCAGGCTCCTCCCCCACCAGGCTGGAGACCCAGCGGGTTCTGGGGCAACGCCCCGAAGGTCTCACCTGAGATCAGGAGCTCCAGGAGGTCGCTAGGGGAAGACCACACGTAAGGGGAGCCCGAGAACACACCGTAGCACCCGTATGTCCACCTCCGAGTCAGACTCACGGGGCCCACGGTGAAGAGGGCCTGGCACCAGCCATCAGCTCGGCACTGGGAGGCCAGGAGCTCGTAATGGCCACCTCCTCCTTCGTCCCACAGGTAAAACCAGTCGAACCGCTGCCATGAGCCACACTGCAGGGTCGCACTCCCTCCTGAGGGCACGATGGGACCCGGGAAGGCTGAGAGGGTGGGTGGGTGGAACATTCCTGGGAGAGAAATAGCCAGAGGAGAGGGTGGGGCTTCCGGTCAGGATGGCGGGTAGGGAAACGCGGTATCGCGTCCTCCCACAACCACATCAAACTTACAACTAAACTACAGAACAACCATCATTTGAAACCACCTGACATCGAGCTGAATGGAAGTCCTACAACTACGGAATTAAAGCAGCAGCCACATCGAGACTGGTAGGAGGGGTGGAGGGGATGGGCTGGTCCCACACCCACGTGTGGCGGTAAAAAGAAGGAGGACACCTCGGCTGGGAAGGTCCTCCCTGAGGACTGAGGGGTCCCCGTCCCACACCAGGCGCCCCGCTCAGGGTTCCAGTGCCAGGAAGTGAATCTCCATCACTTCTGGCTGGAAAAACCAGCGGGAACTGAAGCTCAGGGAGGCTAAGGTGGTTGGAGCCCCAGGCAGCTCCTTAAAGGACCCGCGCACGGACTTATTGGACTCTCTCCCTCTAAGCTTGGAGGGGAGGCAGCTCGAGGGGCACCAGAGACACACAGGGAAGAACTGAGCTGATTGGCACTGGAGCGAGGGCTGGAGAGGGGGCTTTCTCTGGGACAAACGTGCTGTCAGAGGCCTTTGTTCCTTTCTGAGCCGTTCCCGGGGGCGGCAGACAGTCTCCATATCTGGGACTCTGGCAATTTGGCTCACACTGGTTGCCCCACCCGGGTGACTCCCTGAGGCCCTGCCCCATCCAACTTTCAGGACCACCCAAGCTGTTGACAGTTGCTTTACCATAGGATTGTCCTGTCTTGGATCCTGCTTCAGGTTTTCCTAAATTCTCTCAAACAAACAGCATCTGGTCTCAGCTAGCCCCATACCTCTCATTTAGTAATACACAGAAACAAACACAGGGAGGTGGCCAAAATTAGGAGACAAAGAAACAGGTCCCAAATGAAAAAACAGAACAAAACCCCAGGAAAAAAACTATGCGGAATGGAGATAAGCAACCTAATAGATGCTGAGTTCAAAATACTGCTTATAAGGATGCTCAGTGAACTTAGTGAGAACCTCAGTGAACTTAGGGAGGGCCTCAAGAGCATAAAAAAGGACCAGTCCGAAATGAAGGAGGCACAGTCAGAAATGAAAGAGGCGTTAACTGAAATAAAGAATAATTTACACAGATTCAATAATAGAGTACGTAAATCTGAGAAGCAAACCATTGATTTGGAATATAAGGAAGCAAAAAACGCCCAATCAGAACAGCAAAACGAAAAAGAATCCAAAACAATGAGGATAGTGTAAGGAGCCTCTGGGACAACTTCAAGCATGCCAACATTCGCATCTTGGGGGTGCCAGAAGGAGAAGAGCAAGAACAAGAAATCGAAAACTTGTTTGAAACAATAATGGCAGCTGGCCGGTTTGGCTCAGCGGTTAGAGCGTCCGCCTGTGGTCCGGAGAGACCCGGGTTCGGTTCCCGCTAAAGGCATGTACCTGGGTTGCAGTTTGTCCCCGGCCCTGGTTGGTCGTGCGGGTGGCAGCCACTCGATGTGTCCCTTCCACATCGATGTTTCCCTCTCTCTCTCTTCCTCTCTCTCCCTCCCACTCTATCTGTACAAAAAAATGGAAAAATGTCCTCGGGTGAGGATAAAAAAACAAAAACAAAAAAACAATAATGGCAGAAAACTTTCCTAACTTGGTGAAGGAAACAGACATACAAGTCCAGGAAGCACAGAGAGTCCCAAATAAGATGAACCCCAAGAGGCCCACACCAAGACACATCATCATCAAAATACAAAAGGTTCAAGACAGAGAGAGAGTCTTAAAAGCAGCAAGAGAAAAGCAGATAATTACCCACAAGGGAGTTCCCATAAGACTGTCAGCTGATTTCTCAAAAGAAACTTTGCAGGCCAGAAGGGAGTGGCAAGAAATATTCAGAGTAATAAAAAGCAAGAACCTACAACCAAGATTACTCTATCCTGCAAAGCTGTCATATAGAATCAATGGCCATATAAAGAGTTTCCTAGACAAGAAAAAGTTAAAGGAGTTCATCACCACCAAACCGTTATTATATAAAGTGTTGAAGGGTCTTTTTGAGGAAAACGGTAAAATATATGAACAAACAGAATGGCAATGAATACATATCTATCGACAATGGAATCTTCAAACAAAATGAACAGGCAGAACAGAAACATTCTCATAGACACAGAGAACATTTTGTTGGTTGCCAGATGGGAGGGGGGTTGAGGGAATGGGTGAAAAAGGTGAAGGGATTAAGAAGAACAGCCCTGGCCAGTTTGGTTCAGTGGTTGGAGGGTCAGTTTGTGGACCAGAGAGTCCCAGGTTCGGTTCCTGCTAGGGGCACATACCAAAAATAAGTAAATAAATAAATCACAGAACCCTTTCTTTAAAAAAAAAAAAAAGACGAAGAAGAAGAACAAATTGGTTGCTAGACTGACAAACCTCAAAGGGAAGGGTGTTGGGGTGGGGGGACAAACTAAAAAACCTTATATGCGTAACCAATGGACACAGACAACAGTGTGGGAAAAGGCAGGGGGGGGCAGGAGTGGGGATGAGGGGGTCAATGGAGGAAAAATGAGGAACATCTGTAACACATTCAACAATAAAGATTTTTTAGAAATAAAATAAATAAATAAAAGAGGAGAGTGAAAGGGTGGGGCACCTGGCTGGTGTGGCTCACTGGTCGAGCGTCAACCCTGCACCAGGAGGTCACTGGTCCCATTCCCGGTCAGGACACATGCCCGGGTTGTGGTCCTGATCCCCAGTGTGGGGCATGCTGGAGGCAGCCAGTGGATGTTCTCTCTCATCAATGCTTCTATGTCTCTCTCCTTCTCTCTTCCTCTCTCGATAAAACCAATAGAAACATTTTTTAATGTGGGGGGAGGAGAGAAACATCTATAACAAAAATAAATAATAAAAATTTTATAAATAAATAAAAAGGTAAGGGTCTGGGTATTTATCCAAAGACACCCAAAACACGAATTCAAAAAGATATATGTTCCCCTATGTTCATTGCACTGTTATGTCAACTGTCACTGAAAATAAATTAAACATTTAAAGGTTTTTTTTAATTGATTTTTAGAGAGAGAGAAAGGAAGATAGAGAGAGAGAGAGAGAAGCATCGATGAGAGAGAACATTGACTGGCTGCCTCCTGCATACCCACCACTGGGGATTGGGCCCACAACCTGGGCATTTGCCTTGATGGAGAATCGAACCAGCAAACTCTGGGTGCATTAAATGACGCTCAACTGGTGAGCCACGCCAGCCAGGCGAATTAAAAATTTTAAAGAGGATAGGTTTTGTGTTAAAAGTTCTCACCATAGCCCTGGCCGGTTTGGCTCAATGGTTAGAGCATCGGCCCATGAACCAGAGAGTCCCGGGTTCGGTTCCCCCTAAGGGCATGGATCCTGGTTGCAGTTTGTCCCTGGCCCCAGTTGGGGTTACGTGGGTGGCAGCCAATCGATGTGCCTCTCTCACATTGATGTTTCTCTCTCTCTCTCTCTCTCTCCCCCCTCTTTTCCTCCTGCTCTGTCTGAACATAAATGCAAAAAAAAAAAAAAAAATGTCCTCGGGTGAGGATTAAAACATAAAAAGAAAACGTTCTTAGCAGAAAAATAAAATGGAAAATGGAAGAAGAGAGCTGACACCCCCCACGGTACCCAGAAGACCTGGCTGTGGTCTTAGCACCTTCCTGGGCACAGTCACGTCACCTGTGCCCAAGAAAGTGTCTGCTCACCTGCGACCATTAGGTTCAGAGGCTCGCTGGGCACTGACCAGCGCTCCTGGCTGTGATACAGGCAGTGGTAGGTCCCAGCAAAGTCTTGCGTCATGAGTGGGATGGAGAACTTGGCCTTGTCTCCGGATTCCAGTGAAAACTCAGTCCTCTGGAGCTGCGGGGCCGACGTCCGGTACAGGTAGTACTGGTCGGCTCTCTGGGACCCCCGACACCAGATGTCCACAGGCCTCCCGTGCGTGATGACAGAGCTGGGCTTCGCCCAGATGGTGGGTTTGGGCAGAGTCTCTAGAATAGAGTCACGGGTTGCGGTCCTCAGAGTCTCTGTGCCTGTTTCCCTCCACTGTCAACCTGAAGGCTCCTCACACATGTTTCCCACTCATCGGTTTAGAATCCCACTCCCTCCATCCTCCAGCTGCCCCATGAGGGGTCCCACATTGCCCCCAGGGAGGAGGCAGGACCCAGGACAGCAGCGATGAGCTCACCTGTTCTCCGGTAGGTCTTGCGGCCCAGACACAGCCCTGGAAGAGAGATCCCACGAAGATACTGTTATAACCCAGTAATTCTCCATCCACTAGAAGAAGGAACCTCTCCTGGGTTCCTTGAACCCGTGTTGTTTTTGCAAAAATTCTTGAAGAGGAAGGTATGCATCAGCCATGACCACAAGGGGATTGACCATGAGCTTAATTAATCAGGAGATGCCAGACGGGGCAATGAGACATTCAAGGCTGGGGTCTAGTAAATGTTCAGAAATATAAAATAAACAACTTGTGCAGCTGCTAACTGTTGATATCCGCTTCTGTACATGTAGCTTGCTTGCTCTGCTAAACTCTTGAGTAACCCCTGTCCTATATAAGAAACCCTCTCCCTGAGCTCGGGGCTGCAGTTCTCCTCGGTGTAGGTTGGCTGCAGTCCCTGCGCAGGTAATAAAGCTCCTAATATTCAAAATTACTTTGTGTCCCAGTGAGGCTGATTCTCCTGGGTTACAGCAGACACCACTAACTCCTAAGCGAAATCCACCTTCTCCAAGCCTTCCAGGTCATGGGGTCTCGAGAGAGATCACCTTCCACGTGGGTGTTTGGCCCTCCCCTCCACAAAACTCACCGAGGCCGAGAAAGGCAGTAGAGGTGAAGGTCACGGCGTTGCCTCCCGCCAGACAAGACTGTGCAGATGGACAAAACCAGGGAACCTGACAGAGCAGACAGATCCACAGGATGTGGGCAGACGGAGGCTTTCCCATCACTGGGCTTGGATGACGGTGAGTGGCTCCTTCCCCGAGCTCCCGGCGACTCCTGTGTCCCTACAAACAATAGAGACTGGATCCTTGGCGCCACTTGGCCGTGAGGTTCTGCCTACCAGACGTGACTCCTTCCTGGAGGATGATGGTGGGGACCCAGTTTCCAGTCCTGAGTCAGCCCTGTGGGTCAAGTACGCTGGGTGTGCCAGAGAAGGGGCGATATCACTTCCCTTCTCAAGAAGTCCATATATGTGAATTTCTTACTTACCTTCAGCCCGTTAACCAGCAGATGTCTATTTGAACCCTGAGATTTTTCCAGGACCTTGACACCCATCTGTGAACCGCACAAGTGGGGTCAGGGTGCTGGCCGGGGTCATGATCAGAAGACAGATGGTCGGTAACTCATTTCACAATGAATCACTTAGCCAAAAGAGAAGAGAAATACACAAACGTGTGAAAAGGTATAACAGGAGGGAAATACGAGCTGTTTCCTATGGAGAATAAAAAGCTGGGCCCTGGCCGGTTTGGCTCAGCGGTTAGAGCGTCGGCCTGCGGTCCAGAGAGACCGGGGTTCGGTTCCCGCTAAGGGCATGTACTTCGGTGGCAGTTTGTCCCCAGCCCTGGTTGGGTCGTGAGGGTGGCGACCACTCGATGTGTCTCTTTCACGTCGATGTTTCTCTCTCTCTCTCTCCCTCCCACTTTATCGGAACAAAAAACTGAAAAATGTCCTCGGATGAGGATTAAAACAAAAAACAAAGAAACAAATAAAAAGCTGGTACCCATCCTTACAGGGTACCCTTGAGAACTGAGCACATCCTCACCACCACTGATCATCAGGAAACCACAGAAAATAACTAAGAGTCATAAGAGTGTGAAATGAAACTGAGGCCCTGGCTGGTGTGGTTCAGCAGTTAGAGAGTCAGCCATCCGACAGAAGGGTCGCGGGTTTGATTCCGGTCAAGGGCACGCACCTCAGTGGCAGGTCACCTCGATGTTTCTCTCTCTCTCCCTCCGCCCCTCCCTCCCTCTGGGAAAAAAGTATCCTCAGGTGAGGATTAAAAATAATAAATAAATAAAATGAAACTGTGAGTACTAGAGTAAAACGTTGGAGAAGTTTGGTTTTTGTTGTGTTTTTTTTAATAACTCAAGAGTGGAGAACTTTCTAACCATGATAAAAAGTTCTGAATAAATTTGAGTTTGGTTTGGTATGGTTTTGTTAACCAACATCACCCCAATAAGCTCAATAAAAATCAAATTAAATTATTTACATTTAAAAAGCCTTTGCAAGGACAAATAAGTTCATAAGCCAGTTTGGAAAACAAAGACAGAATGTATGTATTACATATAGTATAATATAATATAATATAATATAATATAATATAATATAATATAATATAATACAGAGGCTGGAAAAAGTAGATTTACAATTGTTCATAATAAATAATACAATAGCCAGGCTGGTGTGGCTCAGTGCATTGAGCGTTGTCCATGGACTGAGAGGTCCGGGTTTGATTCCCAGTCAGGGCACATGCCCGGGTTGCAGGCTCGATCCCCAGTAGGGGGCGTGCAGGAGGCAGCCGATCGCTGTTGCTCTCTGACATCAATGTTCTATCTCTCTCTCCCTTTCTCTCTCTCCAAAAATTCAATAAAAAAGTATTTATTAAATAAATAATACAATAATTAATAATACATGAATAAACTGTGTTTTGCATACCCACAAATGTAAACCAACTTTTGTTTGCTTCTGTATAACATACTGTCATGTAATCATAGAAGTTAACATGTACACATTTATGTACATATGTTACACAAAAGGGTTAATTACATATGCTTAGTTGGCAGGGGTGGGGTGGACAAAACCTATTATCTCTTAATATTATAGGCAAACGTCATGAATGCATAAATAAAACATGTTGTATTCATACCTTGAAATATTATTCGGCAATAAAACGAAATAAAGTACTGACATTTGCTGAAACATGAAGAAAAAGAAATTTAATCCTCATCTAAGGATCTGCTTTTACCAATTGCTAGAGACATGGGAAGGGAGAAGGAAAGAGAGAAACATCTATTGGCTGCCTCCTGTACACGCCCCAACCAGGGATCGAACACCCAACCCTTTAGTATATGGGACAATGCTCAACCAACTGAGCCACATCAGCCAGGGCAACATGAAGGAAATTTGAAAACATTATTATTATTATTTTTTTTTTTTGGTACGTGCCCCTAGCGGGAACCGAACCCAAGACTCTCTGGTCCACAGGTTGACGCTTCAACCTCTGAGCCAAACCAACCTGGGTGAAAACATTTTTCTTAAGAGATACAAGCCAGTAGCAAAAGACCACACATGGTATGGTTTCACTTCCTTGAAATGTCAAGAGCTGGCAAATCTACAGAAATAGAAAGATTATCGGCTGCCTATAAATGGATAAAAGAGGTAACAGGATTGATGGCTAAAGGATATGGGGTTTCCTTCTGAGGTAATGAAACTATTCTAAAATTCAAAAAAAATATTTTTATTCATCTTTTAGAGAGAGAAGAAGGGAAAGAGAGATGGAAACATCAATGTGAAAACAGTCTGAGGAATGGGGTAGTCCCAGGGATGTGGAAGTGGGGGATAGACTGACAATCCCCAGAAGAGGGGGTGGTGGGGGAGAGATAAACCACAGAACTTACATGCATGTGTGCATGAACAGTGGACATGGACAGCAAAGCTGGGGACAGGTGGGGAGGGAGAGGGAGGGGGGACTCAGTAGCGGGGGGAGAAACATCTGTAACAAAACTAAATTAGTTAATTTAAAAAAAGAAAAGAAAAGAAACATCAATGTGAGAAACATCCATCAGCTTCCTCCTGCACGCCCCCTACTGGGGACTGAGCTAGAAACCTGAGCATGTGCCCTGACTGGGAATCCAGCTGGGAGCTCTCAGTCCCGACAATTAATTATCAATCCACTGAGCCACACCAGCCTGGCAAACTATTTTCAGTTTGTGGTGATACCACACAACTCTGCAAATCTATTTCTATATCTATATCTATATCTATATCTATATCTATATCTATATCTATATCTATATCTATACACATACATATCTATATCTATCTATATCTATATCTACATATCTATATCTATACATATCTATATCTATATCTATATCTCTATATCTATATCTATAGATATATATTGAATTCTACACCTTGAAATGCGTGAATTGTATGGCAAGTGAACTATACCTCAATAAAGTTGTGACCAAGAATATAATGTGAAGCAAAATAAAAGGTATTAACCCTGCCCTGGCCGGTTTGGCTCAGCAGTGAGAGCATCAACCTGCGGACCAAAGGGTCTCGGGTTTGATTCCTGGTCCAGGGCACACACCTGGGTTGCAGGTTTGATCCCGACCCCGGTGGGGGTCCTGTGGGAGGCAACCGATCGATGTGTCCTTCTCACGTGAGTGTTTCTCTCTCCCCCACACTCCCTTCCACTCCCTATAAAAATCACTGAGGAAATATCCTTGGGTGAAGAGTAACAAGAAAATAAATAAATACATTTTAAAATAAAAGATGCTGACCGCAAGTGTGTGCAGAGGCTGTGTAATTACGTAAACAGATGCTCGGTTCATTTGTAAGGAGAGAGATTCTAGTGGAGCCACAGTGAAAACCTGCCTGTTACCTATCAGATGGGAGGGCTTCCGAATGTGACCACAAGTGCTGTTGGGGAGGATGTGGGGAGAAATCACTCAGGTGACACGGGACAGGAAGGAAGGACTGGAAGGGGAAGGGTGTCTATTTCATCCGACCCACTAAGTTACGTAATCAGTCGACGTTCGCTCTAGGAATCGACCTGGAAGTCAGATGACCACACAGACGAAGCAGCAGCCACATCCACGCAGTGTCTGTGACCAAAGGTCTAGGTTTGAGATGGCCCGGGAGGTGACAGAGGAGGAATGGCCACGTGAGTGTCCCCCGGTGTCTCCCCTAGGAGTCCCCGTAATCTGTCCAGCCGTGTCTCAACAAAGCATTCTCTGCTCAGCCCACAACACGCCTGAGAGATGTGAGCACTGGACATCTACAGGTGGGCAAGCCTGGCCGGTGTGGGCTCGGGGGATAGAACATTGGCCCTGGCACCAAAGGGTCTCGGGTTCCATCCCCGGTCAAGGGCACGTACCCAGGTTGCAGGTTCGATCCTTGGCCCAGGTCAGGGCTCATGTGGGAGGCGGACAATCGATATGTCTCTCTCACATCAGTGTTTCTCTCTCACATCAATGTTTCTCTTCCTCTCTTCCTCGCTTCTGCTCTGTCTAAAATGAAAAAAATATCCTCAGGTGAGGATTAACCAAAAAAAAAAAAAGCAGGGGTAGGGAGTGGGGCTGATCCCCCAGAAATGCAGCCTAGCAGGTGGGTGGTCAAAGGAGGCTCAGCCCAGGGAATGGACGACTCTGGTTGCCCCTGACACCCCCTTCAGCTGGAGGAACAGAGAGATTTTACAGCTGAGCCCAGAGACCAGGACAAGGGCACAGCAGGAGACACCAGCCATGGTTGGCAGACAGCAGGCAATTCCGGAAGTGAAACAAAGCCACATAGCCCGCCCCCCCCCCAACCCCCAGGGGATCACCTGCCTGTGCCCTTGATGTCAGGTTTTGGACCACATTAACCACATGCCCAAGATCTAACCCTGGGCTATCACATTCTCCCTGAGCAAAGGGCACACTCCGTGGGCACCCTGGCGGGGGACCAAGGCTGCTATGACCAAGAGTGAAACAACAAGGAAGCTCCAGCCCCCCACCCCCCACCCCCCACCCCGTGCATCTTGGCTACTCTGACCTCAGAGGTGGGGGAGGCAGGGAGCTCAAACCAAGCCAACCACCAAAAAATGTGATTCAGCGCCACCTGCTGCACAATAATAGAAAGACCCCTTCGTGTCAGTGGGTTAGAAGTGCCATCTACACTTGGATACCCAGACAGAGAAGAAATACATCAAATACCAAAGTAGTGGGGCATCTCCAAAGGAAAATGAAAAATCTACAGGAAACAAACATAAAGACATGGAAATATGGGATATAAATGCATAACCCAGGGGCACAGACAATAGTGAGGGGAGGGGGGGAGGGGACGAGGGGCCAGTGGGGGTGGGCAGAAGGGACATCTGTAATTCTTTCAACAATAAAGATACATTTTTAAAAAATAGATTATTATTTTTAATTCATTTTCCAATTGCAGCTGGCTTACAATATAGTATTCCAAGTGTACAGCCTAGTGATTAGACATGTGTATACTTTACAGAGGGATCCCCCAGTAAGTCTAGTGACATAATTTTTTTTCTTTAATTTTAACAACAGTGACCCTGATGAGTGTGTGGTGACACCTCGCTGTACTCTGGGGTTGGACTGTTGAGTCCAGTCAGCTGGGACCTGAGGAGACAGGCCCAGGAGGCAGAGGCCACCCAGGAACGGGAGAAGCAGGGCGCTTGGGGCCCAGAGCGGGAGCAGTCTCACAGGTGACAGGTGTGGGTGACCAAGGGCCTTGAGCATCACGTTCCTGGTCCCAGAGAGCAGCTGGGAAGGTGGGGCTCCAGGAAAAGGAAGGGGGTGGGCGGGTAGGAAATCCCAGCATGGGTGTTAGGAGGTGGGTCAGACCTGAGAGAGAAGCCCAGACGCTGAGCCCACCAAGGGATAGGCTGAACACGGAGGGACGGCCTGAGGTGAGCACCCGCAGGCTCTGAAAGGGGGTGGGGGAGGGGGCAGAGGGCAGGGGCTGCAGGGACCTGGGCCTGTCTGAGAACCTGGAGAGAAGGGAGACCCAGGAAGGACGGGGGGGGGGGGGGGAGGCGAGGCTGTGATGATGGTGAGCGTCAGACCTGGAGCCAAGCCCTGGAGACCTGACACGGACCCCCAGGAGCGCACAGCCCGGCAGCGCTGGGTCTCCGGGGCTCCAGCGAGAGCCCCTGCGACTTGGACAAGGTCCTCCTTAGGGCCCTGGGGTCTCATCTCTCTGATGAGTGTCCTCTTGTCTCCATCCCTGAGGTCCCTGTGAGGACCTGAGCTGGCTGTGCCAGGCTTCTGCCAGAATGGCCACCAGGATCAGCAAGACCGTGCCAGCCAGGCCGAGGCGCACACAGTTCCCTACCAGGTAGTTTCCGGAGGCAGGCTCTGGAAGCAGAGGACTGGGGTCACTGACAGGTGGACCAGACCGGCCACGCCCAGGACCTATGAGACAGGAGAGCCCAGAGCAGAGCCCTTAGAAGGGGGAGTCCCAGGCTGAGGTCTCCACTCCCCAGCCCAGAAGGGGGCTCTAGTGAGGCAGCTGATGTCCCAGGGGCTCCTATGGAGGGGGCAGGGGAAGGTGGAGCCCAAGTTCCTCTCCGACCCTCCCACTCAGCCTGACCCTTCCCCTTCCACAGCGTCCACACCTGGCCTCTTACTCTGCACCTCTCAGCACAGATGGCCCCCACGCGTCACCCCAGAAAGGGAACAGGGATACTTGAGGGCACCAGGTTGGCACTCTCTCTGTTTCTACTTGTCTGAGGGGCTGGACACACCTCAGAATGTCCCGCCACCCTCGATACATTAGCACAAAGCACTGGGCCCTGGTCCTTGGAAAACAAGGAGGGTGGGAGCCACCTCACCTGGCCCCAGGGTCAGAGGGTCCTGGAGGCTGACCCTTCCTATCAGGACCACTGTGCACCCACAGTCCACCAGGGCAGTGAGGGGTCAAGGGCCAGGATCAACTGGGTGGACACCCCCAGGCCTGGACGATGGGGGACTCTCTGGACATAATCACTGACCCATGTGATGTCTGAGTCACAGCAGGACAAAGAGAGGAGACAGACATCTCAGCTTTAACGGAAGAATTTCCCCTCCTGCCCTCACTCTCGCCGTCCTTGCTGGACGCTGACTCCGTGGTGTCTCAGGGTCTGACCACACCCGGACAGGGGCAGCCTCAGCCAAAAAATACCCCAAAGCACCATCCAACCCTGGTCAGGCCCGTGGACCACGTGATTTGCCCAGTGGAGGGTGGACCCCAGGGCACACATCGCCTGGGCCACAGGATCTGGCCCAGTGGAAAGGAAGGTTTAACACCATCCTGAGGGAAAGGACACATGTCCCCCTGAAGGGGGTCTGTCCCCAGCTGGTCTCTGGAAGGCCACTCCCCACCCAGCCCAGCAGGGCCAGCTCTGTGCCCACTGTGATGCTGGGGCTCAGTGTCCAGGCCGCCATGGGGTCCAGCTGTCCAGATGGGACCAGGGCTCCAGGGCTCCAGGGCCCTGAGCCAGGTGTGAAGGTCGAGGGTCATGTATTCAGAGGGGCAGGGGCCACAGGGCTGAGGGTCTACAGGGGGGCAGGGAGCCTGAGGACAGAGACGCAGCTGGGAACTGGGTGCAGGGACCTGGGACAAACCTGAGGGCCGAGTGGAGACGTCCTCATCTGTCACCTGCAGCTCCAGGGGCTCACTGCGCTTAGACCAGCGGGTGTTTTTGTGATAGCGGCAGAAATAAGACCTGGCAGTGTGATTACTCACTGCAGGGATGTGGAATCTGGCCTGTGTCTCCTGTGAAACAAGTTGATCCTTGTAAGTAAAGTTTCCATTCTTCTTTTCCAGGCGGAATCCATCAGCCGCAGCTGGGCTCCAGCACACGATGGTCACTGGCTGTCCCCGCGGGATCACAGGGCCCGGCTCGGCCCTGATGGAGGGTTTGGGCAGGACCCCTGGAAGGAAGCAGAGTGGGAACTCAGGGTCCAGTATGAATAAATACGTGTTCCCTCTTTGTGATGGACAGAAGGACACTAAGACACTGCCCTGGCCTCCACCACATCTGCCCTCTACATCCTCATTGGAATCAGAGCATCACATTGAGCCAGGCACAGGGTCTCATGGAACAAAAGACAACACCAGGCACCCCCAGGACCAGCTTTCTCAGCCCTGTGACCATGTTGGTGACAATGCAATGGAAGAAACATGGCTGGGGAGGTTCCCAGGAAGGCAACTCAAAGGGTGGCAGTGAAGCCTGGAGTCGCCCTGCCTCTTCCTGCCTTTCATTGCCACTCAGCTTGCAAACGTATGCAATGGCTGGAGCCCTGGCAGCCACTTTGCATCAAGAGGGGACTTTGCGCTGGTGGCCACGAACTGAAGTTGTAGAGCAGAAGTAGAGAGCCTGCATCTCTGGTGTCACGCTGGGGCTGCCGCGCTGTCTCTGGCCAAAGTCCAGACACAGCATCCCTGCGAGACAGAAATAAGCTGCCGAGATGTCCTCTATTACACGCAGTGTTGTTGGGGGATAAAATGGGGTGATGAAAAAGAACTTGATGCCAGGCAGCTCTGTGATGCGCACCCACATGTATAAAGAGAGCATGCAACAAGGAGACCCCTCCTCATCTGGGAAACCGAAGTCAGCTGCGATGTGATAAATGCATAAGACGTGGCTCCGCCAAGCAGATAGGGGAGGCCCAGGTGTTGGTGGTGGAGAAGTCAGCGTGTGAGACCGTCCCGCATGCAGGGTGAGCTGACGGAAAGCTAATGTGTCTGGTGAGAAGGGAACCCCACAGAGCAGGAAGGACGTGGGTAGAGGTAGATGCAGCCAGAGGAACCACATTGATAAGGGTCTGATGCAACCTCAGTTCAACCAATGAAGGGTTTCAGCTGGGAAGGAAAGTCATCAGATGGGTTTTCTCTAAGTTCGCCTGCAGGGAGGAATGGGGTGGAGCCGGCAGGGAGAGGCCCCTGGAGACCCCATAGCTGCTGTGGGGTGAGGGCTGATGGAGCTCTGATGGAGGTGACACCCAGCAGGGACGTGGGCGCACCTGAGGACATGGAGGGTGGAATCAGCAGGGCTCTGGGGTGGAGGTACAGGGGGCGCCCTAAGGGGGATCAGGGATAACTGCTTTATCGGGTCTGCGTGATGACCTGCACTGAGAACTCAGGAGGGGTGAGGAGGAGCCAGATGTGAGTGGGCGAGAACCAAGGGTCCAGTTTAGACGTATTGGATCACAGTGGTGGTGTCCTGTGGGCTTGGCAGCTGTCGAAAGTCTTAGCAGGGACCTTCACCTGCTGTAACTTGAAGTTTGATCCCTCCCCAAATTCACAGGACTCCCTTGGGGCGGGCGGAACCCTCCAATCTTGCAGGGATGACTCACCCTCCTGCGTGCGGACGACCTGGCCCAGGCAGAGCCCCGCGAGAGAAGCCCCGGTGAGGAAAACGCCCATCGCCCTGATTCCTTAAAAGGGGGGGAGAGAGGGGGTCAAGGGCTGTGTGCTGCAGGGAATGACTTCATCTCCCCCAGACCCTGCAAAGCACCCTCATCAACACGACTCCCAGTAGGCAGCTCCCCCTCCCCCCCACATCGGGTTCCAGACACGTTCTCAGTCGACCTCCCCATCGGATCCCCCTCTGGCTTCTTCTGAGGCTGACCTGCCCCATCCCAGTGTCTGGAACAGGTTAGAGGCCCTGTTCCCCCCACTGGAGGCTTAGGCTCAGTGACACAGAGGAAGGAGGGCCTCCGGGCTGACTCTGCCCCAGGGCTCAGCACGTCCTGGACCAGAGGCTGCACTGAGATGGGGCCCGGATCCTACCCAGAGTCCCCTCTGTCCTGTGGTTCCCCCCGCCCACCCACCCCCCCGCATTTCTGCTCACCAGGGCCCAGGAGGGTGGTGGGATGGGGGGCCATGGCCAGCCTCTCACCGCCTTCTCTGTCCTGATCCTGGGTGAGGGAGCACAGGGCCTGCAGATTGGGGCGTGTGCAGGGGCCACATCACAGGCTCATTGCGGTGGCCCCACAGGAAGTGAGGGTGGCTCCTCCCGGGCCCGACGCTAGCTTCCCCTATTGGGGATCAGGGAGGATTTGGTTTCCAGACGGTGTTTCTAGTGAGATATTCCATAACCAGGCTGAACCCATGTCCAAATGAAACTCACCTAACATGAATGTATTAGGGATAGAACTAGATGACAGGTTCCTAGATACACAGATACTCAGATAGATACATAGATACTTATATAAGTACATAGATACATAAATAAATGTATACACTGATAGTTACACATAGAGATACATACATTGACAGTTACATAGATACATAGATACTTATATAAGTACATAGATACATAAATAAATGTATACACTGATAGTTACACATAGAGATACATACATTGACAGTTACATAGATACTTAGATAAAGAGGTAACCATATAGACGGACCAAATACAGAAGGAAACATACCGACTTGGCTTCTTGCCTTCACGGGCTGAATGTCCGCAAACCACACATTTCCTCATGCAAATGCTTCCGTTTTTCTCATTAAAAAGGGAAACCATAAACCTCTCTGACACCTCTTACTAGGGGTGCAGAGACGGAGCTGAGCGGCCCCCTGGAAGGACACTCCTCTGCCCCCTCACGCTCTCCCGGGCAGGTGGCAGGGTTCAGACATGATGCCCTTGTCCCTGTGCCCCTCTGTGTCCTGTGACCCTGCGCTCGCTCTGCACACTCCCCCTGCCTTCTAGCTGGCTCCGGTTTTCTGAACTGAAAGCCCCTACGTCTGCAGAAGCAAATGCACTTAAGAAATGATCGTGTTGTCACGACATTGTTGGGTGGGCCCTCTTGGAAGGCTGCGTCTGTGAAGAAGTAGATGGGTCTGGACTGGTGGTTGCATTTCAATCTGGATGTTGAAGGACGTCCCTGGGTTCATTAACTGCACAGAACACAAGCACTGTGACTGGGGAAGGTGGTCTCATAGCCTCCATCCCTCACAACACTGAGTCACATCATCATGACCTCCCGAGGGAGGAGCCGGCCCCATGAGGAGAAGACAGGAGAATCAGGACCAGGGAGGAAAGACGTGGGACTTCTCAGGGCCACAGCCCCAGGGAGAGGCTGCAGAGGCTGCAGCACCAGGCAGGCTCCCTGCAGAGCTGGGCTCATCGGGAAGGTCCTGGCTCAGCCAGGGCAGGTCTGATAGGGACAGAGGAGATGTCTGCAATGCCAGCTGTCCTGTCTTCCTGCCCTGGGTGCCACTCAGGCTCTCCAAGGGCACAGACCTTCGGCTGTCTCCTGACCTCAGGCTTAAGCCCAGGGAGAGCCTACCCCGTGGTCCTTGTTGTTCAAGGAGAAGAGAAGCAGGTTCTCAGTGTCTGCCGTCCCTTCGGGGACCAAGGCCCATGTGCGCTAGGAGCCTTGGTCTCCACCCCCATCTGCTCGGATCTCCAGGTCTCCGAGCCCAGCTGGCCCCGAGCCTCTAAGAATCAGAAGGTCCGGACAATGGGCTCTGCCCTGGGAAAGAACGCAGGAAGTGGTCGTGTGGATTCGGGTGGTGTGGCCACAGTGGGCAGCGCCCCCTACAGTGGGCAGCGCCCCCTTGTGCTGCCCCCTTGTGCTACAGAGAAGTTGAGGTCTGTGGTCAGGACCACTCTTCTCAGAAAGCACGTCTCTTTTAGGCAAGAACAATGGCCCTCGATTCCCAAAGTACACACCCTGTGCTGAGACTCCCCCCTGTGCAAAGACGAACAGAGTGTCCCTCACTGCCCATCAAGTAGTCACACGTGTTTCTACCGTGTCACCCCAGGTGGGAATGTGGGTGAGAGGGAGCAGGACAAAGCAAATGTCTGAGAGAGGGCTGTGCTCACAGACACGCTGCAGACGGGAGGGGTGCTGCGGACGCAGAGTGTGCAAGAAGCCTTCGATGGGTGTCATGTGGTCCCTCTTGTCTCTGCTCCCTCAAGGACGTAGGGACCCTCTGGCCATCTCAACATCCACTTCGTCCCCGGGGGTCAGTGGACGGGTCTGAGCATCCATTCCTGCCTCCTCTGGTCCCGGTGGACTCTCCTCCCGCCACAGGGGCCTCCTGTGGCTCCCTGGTGTTCAGTCCCTGGACACACCTCAGGGGCCCTGGGAGGGTCCTGCCATTCTGAGCCACCAGGAGTGCGAAGCGTGGCGTGTCCTCCAGGGGGCGCGGTGGAGCCATGAAGCAAGAGGATGGACCTTCCAGGAAGAAATGTCTGTGCCACCCCTGGCCCTGTCCTGGCCCCTGCATCTGGCAGGTCGGCAGGTCAGAGATTCAAGAAGAAAAGACTAGTCCTGCTGGCCCCTGAGGCTCAGTGGGTGGGTGTGGTCCCCTGACCCAAGAGGGCGCTGGATGGATTCCTGGTCAGAGCACCTGCCCAGAGCACCTGCTCCCTCTCCAGTAGGGGGCGCGCAAGAGTTGGCCGGTCTCACTGATTTCTCTCTCTCTCCTTTTTTCTCTCTAAAATAAATAAAAACATATTTTAAAAAAGAAGAAGAAAACACTAGTCCTGACGTGTGCTCATCGGTCTCTCCCCAAGATCCCCTGCACCCCTGAGATAGAAAAGGTTTTTCTTATTTTTTAATTTCCCTCAAATCCAGTCTCTCCTCACTGGGCCCTCAAGGCCTGGACACACAGGAGCAGCTGTGGACCTGGCCAGCTGTCCTGCGGGGCCGGGGGTGGGGGGCAGAATATTCAGGAATCTGCTCTCTAGGAATGCAGCCTCTGCACCCCCTCCTGTGCCCCCCTGTCAGGTTGGAGGCAGACAAGCCAGAGTTGAGCAGAAATGCACCCATGTAACTGTGATGCTCTCCTAAGTGTCAACCGACCGGGTCCCGCGACACCCAGGAGCCGGTACAACAGGGTTTCCGGGCGTGTCTGGGGGGCGCTGCGGAGGAGACCAGCTTTCATTCATTGGACTCAGTATCCACCCTCCCCAGTGTGCGCGACACCATCTCCTCTCCGGGGGCCCCCAGAACGACACGGGGAGAGGGGGGTTCATTCTCCCTTGAGCTGGGACGTCCACCCCTCCGGCCCTCGGACGTGGGAGCTCCTGGCTCTCTGGCCTTCTGCCCTCCAGTTCTCAGGCCTTTAAAATTGGACTGAATTACCCCACCGGCTGTCCCGGTCTCCAGCGTGTGGACCGTCGATGGAGGGACCTCCAGCTTCCATGACCCGTGAGCCCAGGCAGAGGGGCTGAGATAGTAGCAGTGACATCTCCCTGCATCGTGTCCTGTCATCTGTGCGAGGAAGAACGTGGCCTTGTCTCTGGGGTTCGGTGACTTCCATTTTTTCCATGGCAGCGTGTATCCGTCTTTATCCAGACGGTACTCCTCAGCCCCTGGAGTCCCCGACATGTGATGTTCACGGGGCTCCCCCAGGAGATCACAGATCCTGCAGCCCAAAGCATAGGTTTGGGGAGCTTTCCTGTAAGGAAACAGAGGCTGGGTCCTAAGACATTCCCACCCCAATCCCCAGGTCTCAGAGCTGTGCCCCATCTGTCAGTCAGACCTGCTGTTCCTCTTCCTCAGTGGCCTGGGGGTTGTCCCTTGTCACAAGGGAGGAGGAAGACCTGGGACACCTGGGGACAGACTCACCTGCCTGCACTCTGGTCTTCAAGCCCACGCTCAGCCCTGGAAGAGAGTTTCTGTGAGAGATTTGGCCCCAAATCCTGGGCAGAAACCTCCTCCCTGTGAGCCTCCTGAGTCCTGGGATTTAGTGACACACGGCCTGGCTGGGGGACAGGGTTCATCCAAGACCAGGACTTCCCTCCTCGTGCTCAAACCTTACAGAGGACAAGCAGGGCTGTGAGGGTGGGGGTCATGGTGTGTCCTCTGTCTGGACCCAGCTGAGCCAAAGCAGGATCTTTGGTGCCTTCAACACAGACGAGCACATACGGGGTGGACACTGGGAGACTGGCCCTCGCTGTCACCAGGTGTCACGGCAGTTTGCCACTCAGGAAGAGGAACAGGGTCACCCAGGGCCTGGCTGTAGTTGCAGGGGGGAGCAGGAAGTAGTCCTGAGCCTTCCTGAGATGCCCCTTGCAGGTGAGGTGGCCCAGGGCACGTCCTTCCCTGTCAGAGCCTCCCCCGTGGGGTCTCCATCATCCCCAGCCCGTCCATCAGCACCAGTGTCTGGGGTCTTCACCATGGACAGTGCCACCTGGGCCCTGGAGATGCTTCAGGAAGACGTGGGTTCCTGAAGCCGGCAGGGCTCATTCAGCACAGACACGTTCTCCATCCAACTGCCGTTCAGGGTGAGTGTCCCTGTGACAATGAGCCCCGAGGAGAAATGCAGAGAAATAAGGGAAGGAAACAAGTCCCTAGTCCTGGCCCAGAGTGTGGTTTTCTTTCTGTGTTAGCGGCCCTCACAAACTTTTTTATTTCTCTTAGTGACAGACTCCACCTCACTTCCTGGGGAGAAGCTGCTGAGTTATTCC